TTCTCTTGCTACTAAAAGACAAGGAGCTAACTTATACCAATTAACATGCCACGTGTACAATTTACTACTAAAACTTCGTATGGCTTTTTTGCACCCTCTGGCATTTTCTGTTCCTTTTCAATCATCTGTAGATCTTGGGTGCTTCCTTCCCCTTAGGAGTAGGACGTGACACTTCCTYACAGGGATCAGGTAGTCCCTGTACAGGAGTGTGGTGGATTGACCTTCACTGGACACCAGGTGCCCACTAAGCTGCTCTATCACTCTCCAACTCAGCTGAACAGAGGACAGAAAATACGATAGAAGACAACTCAAAGATTTAGAGAAGACAGTTTACTAAAGCAAAAATGGAAGGTAGCATGCATAACCAAAAACAAGCAAAGACAAAAATGAGGTTTTTTTCTCTACTTCCCATCAGCAATCAATGTTCAGCCACTTCTGGAGAAGCGGAGCTTCAACACATGTAATCATTGCTCTGGAAAGCAAATATTGTAAAATAATGAATRCTCCTCCTTCCCCCTCCTTTCCTTAGCTTTTATATCTGAGCTGAYATCATATAGTATGGAATATCCCTCTGGTCARTTTGRGTCAGCTGTCCTAGTTGTGTCCCCTCCCAAGATCTTGTCCACCCCAACCTACTGATGGGGGTTGAAAAGTTGGACAGACAATGTTGATGCTGTGCCAGCACTGCTCAGCAGTACCCCAAACTCTTGGTATGTTATCAACACCTCTCTATCTACCAATGCAGAGCCCAGCACTGTGAGGGCTGCTATGGGAAAATGAACCCCAGCTCAGCGAGACCTGGTACAAGATGTGACCTGACAAAGACACATTGGCATTGTCCCCCCTCCCTGCAAGGCTGCAGGATGAGAACTGGGGGCCTTGGCACCTCGACCACATTTGCTTTCTCCTGAGCATCACTAATGACATGAGCTCAATCCCCAGATCTGAAGGTCATGGGAGTTATTTGCCAGAGGGAAGTCAAGAGGGAAATCATGATCTGTCTTTCTTCTCTTTCTTCTCATTCTTCTCATTCTTCTCTTTCTTCACTTCCATTCCCTTACTAKTAATTACTGTTGGATTTTACTTCTGTTTGACATTACCCCTGCATCTCAGGATTGGTTCCGCATGAGGGGTCCTGAACAAATCCCACCAGAAGCTATCACCCTGCACGACTTTTTCACAGCTGCCTGTCTTTCTCAGGAARTCAAACTTTTCTTCTGTATGTTTTAATTGTATGTTTCTTGCATTGTAATTTAAACATATCACACTCTCTGACAGGTATGCCATCACTTTGATTTACACTAGTGTGCCTCTCCTTACATGCAGGARGAAATGAGAAAGTAATGGTCATATTTCAAAACCACCTACAGTGCAGGTGGCATAAAATCTTRTCTGACAATTATATTTGAAGGTAGAAACTTAAATGAAATCACTTTAGTATTTAGCAGTCGACCTACTTCAGATTATACAGCAAGCAGTTTAGCCTAAGGAGGCAGGCAGGCTGAAATATTTCATTTTTTAGGCCCCACACTGTTTAAGACTACYGTAGCATAATTGAAAACTTGATCCAAAAAAGAAAAACCCCAGGAGAATGTTCATTTTTAATGTAGGCTACTTCATTCAGGGCCCTGAAGGCATGAATAAGTCTTTATGCCCTCACCAGTTCCATATCCATGGGCTCAGARCCCTCATTTTGCCTCAGCTCAGGGCCATCATTCCCTGCCTGTACTGTGCTAGAGCCTCCACAGCCACAGTCCCATCCCTAAGGGGCCCACACTGCTCATGCTGATCCTGCAAGTCTTCTTTTGCCTTTTCCGAGCAGCACGTGCTCCTGTGCAAGAACTTAACATGGAATAGCTGCAAAATAGTATTGACACAGGTATGATATGATATGATATGATATGATATGATATGATATGATATGATATGATATGATTGATATGATACGATGAGTCCACACAGAAAAGCACAAACTTCAAGTGGTGCAATGGGCCCTGGGAGAAATCTCTGTATCTGTAGGGTTTGACCAAAGGAAATGTTCAGGGTCAGCCCCAGCCTCACCCAACCCTGGCTGGGACAGCCAAAGGAAGGACTTTGGYTCTTGGTTTTCCCTCATTTGCACAGCAGCACAGCTTGCTCTCTGCTTCATACACGTTCCTTCTCATAGCTTTATTTGTGGKATGAGAGAGGTCTTCATGCAAAGAGAAGATGCTGTTTAATGCAAGGAATTTCATCAGTATTGCAAAACTAGCAGGGACCAGCAAGCAGCGACTGCGGCCGCTTTGGTAAGCTTATCCTTTAATTTTACCTGGTGTTRTGTGGCATTTGGTCAGAAGACTGGAGTTAAAAGCAGCTGAATCCTCTGAAGGAGTGAGTTTTTCAGAGAAAGGCTCTTGGGGGACGGGGAGTTGTTCCCTGCATTTTTAGTGTCCTTTTGCCTCACAAAACAGCAAGGTCTGTGGTTTCAGGAGGCTGGAGGATTATCCCTTTTAATGTTTGTGGAATACTATTATTTTTTTCTGTGGGATTTCACTGCAGAGTCAGGAAGGATTGTTTATTCTTGAGGTCAGTGTGTGCTGCAGRTACTATAACCAGTAAAAAACTATCTGAATAAAGTACAGGTAATCTTTCTGCATTTAGGYATATATCGTGGCCAGTATGGGAGGAGAATTCTCTCCTTGAAGCTGCAAGGTGAATCCCTGCCTGGGTATTTTGTGTGTCTATATACTCTGGAGGTATACAGGAAAAACATGATGTGATAGGAGATTCAGAGTTAAGCAGGCAGGTCTGCCTCTGTGAGATGGCTTTGGGTTCTTGCTGCAGCCACATAGCTGTGCCTGTGCCCCTGAATTTAAGGAAAGTACTTTTATGACAGTGTTTCATTAAGCTGCTTCTCAGGTTTGTCAAATCTCCAAAATCAGGCTAAATTTTAGAGCTGAAACTTAATCCCATGTTTTCCTATGGTTTTAGGTTAGCTTCAATAAGAATAGAATTAACACTTGTTACATAACAAGTGATGAGTTCTAGAAAATAATATGCAGGAATTTCCTAATATGCAATAAATAATTTTTATTTTTCACTTCTACATCACACCATATCAAAATCAAGCGTTTTCCAAGTTCTGTGATTTATTTGCTACAGTTTTAGAGCGGTCCTGWAGACTAGGTGTTAATATTTTTCATTAATTTGGGATTTTTACTGCTGCAATCAGGAAATTTCTCTGGTTAGCACAGGTGGTGGAAAAGCAAGTTTGGAAAACAGCTGCAGTAAAGTTGATTTTCTGAGGAAGTTATCCGATTTGTTAAGTTCCACACAAAACACTGTTATTTTTAGTGGGGTTTTTAACATTATGGCATAATACTGGCACAAGCCATTACCACAGTCTGAGATTGTTACTAGCTAAGCACGCCGTGGTTGATGCTGCAGGATACCCTAATATCTGTAAGTCTGTGCTAATAGTCCAAAGTTGTGCTGTCCCTGCTCAGAAAGGATGAAGTCAAAAGAGCTAGACATTGCAATTCTGCCTGTTACATTTTAACTTCGTCATGTTGTCTCATGCTCCTTCTCTGGAATTTATTTGTCCATTTCTGCCTCTCTTTCAGTGGATATGGTCAACAGGGAAGGGAACAAATTTCCTGGAGGTCATAGCAATAAAACAGAATCTTCATGAGGTCAGGAGCAGATCTCTAGTCCAACATTCTTCTTGTAGTCTGTCAAACACTATACAAGAGCAACTGTTTTTGCTTAGCCATGTCTTGAAAATACTTAAGGATGGTAATTCCAAATCCTCTCTGGCTAACCAATTAAAGTGCTTCACTATCTACCACTGGAGAAATTAGTGGTGAATATTTCTCAGTCCACTTCTCAATCATGCCAGATGGTAAAACAAGGGCAATGAACAGAAGTTCTTGCTTGGCAGGTCGTGATTAGATAATCTCTTAGTCCTTGGAACGAATTTCAGGCTGCAACTGGAAAAAGAAGAAGCAACTTCAAAGCTGCCCTGGAAACAAGGACRCAAGGTAGAATAGGCTACAGTAAGCAAGATTTCAAAACAGGACAAGTGTGATTTTGGTTTTTCCACCTAAACAAGTACAAGAAGCAAATACCTGCTCTGAATAATTTAAGCAATTTTAGAAGTCCCAGTTATAAAACTATTTTCCTTCAGAATATACACAATGAAAATTTGGGTCAATCCCTTGGTTATCAATTAAGTGTCTTGGTATTCAAGATTATATCTCAGTCATATATTTGATGGGATGTTTTTCACRCTGTGGTGGAAAATACCTGATCCATGAATGCCCATACACTTGCTTCCCATTTCTTCTTGCCTCTTGCCTTCTTGCTTAGAACTGGGAATGTGCTTGAAAATGCTCAGCAAACAAACATTTTCTGTCTGCTCTGGSAGTGCACATGGCTTCTCAGGACCTTGTCACCTGCACGGCTCCCTTATGAGCCA